CCTTTTCCTGGCAGAGCTTCTGGTGGATTCGAACTGTGCGCCTCTGGGATTGTAGTTGCATGATGTGCTTGTTATATGCCCAGATTTGGATGCCAGAAAAAGCCACAAAGCCAGGGTGGCTTGATTCAGCTTCCCAGGAAATCACACCTCATTTCCAAACTCCCCTGTGCCCTAAGCCCTGAGTACACCTGTCAGACTCACTGGCTGATGGCCGCTCAGCCTGAGGAGCAGCAGTCCTCCCGGAAGGACGTGAAGGAGAGCTCTTTTCTTGTTGTTGTTATGTGCTGTGGAGTTGATTGCAACCCACAGCAACTGTATGCACAGTAGCATAGGGAGCCCTTCCCTATCCTGAGACAATCTCACTGCCTCCAACAAATCTACTCCCAATATCCCGGTCACCGTGCCAATCCATCTTACCCTGGGTCTTCTTCTCCTGCACCGTCCCTCTATCCTTCCAAACGTGATGTCTTTCTCCAAGGACTGGTCCTTCCTGACACCATGCCCAAAGTATGTGAGATGGAACTTCAAAATCCTCGCCTCTAAGGAGCAGCTTGGTTTCACCCTCTCCAGGTGAGATCTGTTCATTTTGTTAGTATTCCATGGTATGTTCAGTACTCTTCTCAAGCACCACAACTCAAAGCATTGATTCTTCTTCTGTCACCCTTGGTCATTGTCCAGCTCTCTGATGCATAGTAAGTGACTGCAAAGACCATGGCCTATATCAGGCACACCTTAGTCTAGACTGACATCATTGCTCTTCAGCACTCTGGAGAGGTTCCTGACAGCAGATTTTCCTAATGCAATTCATCTTTTGATTTCCTCACTGCCAAGAGTGTTGATTGTGGACCTGGGAAGCTGAAATTGTTAAACAATCTCAATCTCTTCTCTATCCATCATGGTGCTGGAATTGGCCTATTGATGAGAATCTTTGTTTTTTTTTTATGTTAACCTTCAATACATATTGAAGACTGCAAAGCTTTCTCCTTACTGACTATGACTTATTGACTTAACCCCCACAAATTCCAAGTCAGGTAAGTTTTATCTCCATTTTTGTCCAGATGAGTAAGTATGACTCAGAGAAGGTAAGTTTTTCATGCAAAAGGACACAGTAAATCAGAAACAGGGCATGGATTAAAAACCAGATCTCTCAGAATGAGTATTCTGACCCATTATTGTCTGTCCAGCTTGGCATTCTGTGCCAAAGATTTCTTTCTGGGGGAAAAAAAATCCTAGATCTGAAACACATAGAGAATTAAATGAGCAATGATCAGGAAACTGCTGGCCCAAAGCCGAGCTCTCTACACTTGTTCTGGCCACCCTTCTCCCATTAGTTCTCGATTCCACATCTTTCTTTGGTGTCCAGGGGAAATTTTCATTGCCAGGCTTGTTTTTCCATTTCATTTTCTGTCTGTGTAGTCACTTATTTCCTGAGTGCGTTTTAGTCAGGGTTTGGCTGAAAGCTTGCATCTCCCTAAGTGCTTAAAAACCTTAGGGTGTTAGGAAGAGGGAACCCAAAGAGAAGCGAGTGGGAGACGTAAGAGTCAGTGAAGCCATTGGGAGCAGACAGAGAACAGACAGAGAGACAGGGGTGGACTTAATAGCTCTGGGGTTACCAGACCTCTGGACTGACCTTCCAGCACGTTCTCACCCTTGCCTCTCAGCGTTTCAGGCCTCAGCCAGGCTGATCATTCTCAATCTGATCCTGCCACTCCCCTCAGCAGAACCCTTCAATGACTCCTTGTTCTTCTCACAGGATAAAGTCCAGACTCTTGAATGTGGTCCAAAGGTCCTTCAAGAGCTTGTCTTTCTGGCCTTGTCTTTCGACACCTCATGCGGCCCCAGCCTTCCCGGAGTTCTTGCCATTCTCAGGAACAAATTGAACTCTTCCGAGCCTCTGGAAATTTTCACTTGCAGCCTGATTATTTCTTTTTGCCTGGCTAATGCTTCTTTAGAGAGCTCTTGTGACATCGCCTGTAGAGAGTGAGTTGTGCTGCTAAACCAAAGCACACGCTTCTCAGGCAGTTCAAATCCACCAATAGCTCCATGGAGAACGATGAGCAGTCTCTGGTGGAGTCGGAACTAACTCAATGGTAATGAGTTTAGTTTGAATGCTTCTTTGTTCTTCTTTACTACAGTTCGTGCTCAGCAAGATAGATTGACAGTGACAGTGACAATGGCCTTGATGATAGTGCAGGACAGGGTGAGGTTCAGGTCTGCAGTGCCTAGGACTGCTATGAGTCATATTCTATTCAATAGAACCTAACAATAACGTCTCACCTAGACTCCATCAGCTCCTGGATATCTTTCCTAGTGATTTTCCTGTCTCTGTAAGGGCCTTTCCCACTAACACCTCCTTCCCTCTCTCCTCCCTTGTACGTTCTGAAGCCTAGCAATTCACAATGTTTTTCAATGACCTGTTTGTTTCTCATTACGTATCCTTCTTCGTATTTTCTGCATTTCTTGAGTGCAAGGAGTTAGCCTATGGCCCCTGAGTTAATGAACAAATAGATGAGAGCGTGGACAGATGACAGTCTACAACTGTGCCTTGATGGAACTGTGTGCCCCTATTTTGCAAACACCAACTCTGTTAAATGACTATGTACCAGAGAACCCCAAACCAAAAGAAGTGTCACTCGGACACTCTGGAAACCTCCCGTGCTTGTCGAAAACTCGGGCATAAAGGTTCCCTGAATTGAAGAGCCCTCATGGGTAGCAGCTTCTTATAACCAGAACAAAGGAATATTGGATTAAACTCAGGAAGAAAGGGGAAAACAATTATATGAAAGGATGAATCACTTGAGGAGACATTTTCCTATTTTCAATAGAAAGATATCTTTTTCTTAAAACCACAGACTGAGAGATTGCTCAAGTAGCAGAAAAACAAATGCTTGTATGATCCTGATTGGAGTTGTTACAGCTAGGACACCCTGTGGTTTCCGATGGGGGTGGGTTCCCTTGGTAAGAGGTGAACTGTGCGTGGTCAGAAAGGGCTAAGCAGAAGCCTCGGGAAGGCAGTGCCTGCATACCCTGCAAACTGAGGCTGAGCCTTCAAAAGGGGCCTGCGGGGAAGGAGGCCCAACAAGCACCAAGGACAGGGGACTCAGAACCCCAAGCTGCCATGTATGGGTTTACAAAATTTGTGGCTTGTGAAGTATGCAATGAAGATACAAGCCCCTTCAAGATCCTCTATACCATCTGCTTTGCTCAGTAATGTACAAAAAAAGGTTCGTTGTAGGATGCACAACTAACCCCAACGTAGCGCCTCTCTAGAGGTTCGAATCCACCAGCAGACCTGTGGGGGAAAAGATAGGCAGTCTCCTCCTGTGTGATTTACAGCCTCTGAAAACCTGATAGAGGATCAAAGATGAGTTGGTCTGACTCACCAGCAATGAGCTATTTGTTGAGGGAGTTCAATGAGGTGGGGGTCATCCGCCCTGCAGGGCACAGAGCCAGGACGGAGCCATTGCATCGGCATTTTGGATTATCATACACACTGGATTGTATTGAGGTCTTTCACCCTTGATATCTGTGGATTGAGGAGTCCTGGTGGCACCATGCTAACACTCAGCTGCTAACTGAAAGCCCAGTGATTTGAACCAGTAGCCGCTCCACAGGAGAAGATGTGACAGTCTGTTTACATAGAGGTTACAGTCTCAGAAACCTTGTGTGGCAGTTCTGTTCTAACTCACAGGGTCCTTGTGAGTCGAAATCAACTTGACCACAGTGGGTATAAGTGGCTTGGTATGTGGCTTTGTTTCTAACAAATATCTGACCATTTTGTTAGTTAACATGAAGTCATATTGAAGTAAAACAAAACTTAAACCTAGTCTGAATAGTGTCCTTATAAAGAGAAGAGACTCAGTCATACGGAGAGAAGAGCCCTGTGTGTGAAGGAAGGCAGAGAGAGCTGGGAGTGAAGACAAAGGAAGTGTTGCTGGCAGCCTCCAGGAGTCTGCAAAGACAAGAAACGGTCCCCACCCCCACCCCCGCAGCCTTTGGAGAGCACATGGCCCTGCGGACACCCTAAATTTGGACTAACAGCCTTTAGTATTGTGAGCTCAAGCATTTCTATTCTGATAAGTCACCTAGTTTGTGCAGCAGCCTGAGGAAACACACACACACACATATCTAGAAAGTATTTTCTTGCGCAGGGGCCATGCTAATCTTTTCTGTATCGTTCCAATTTTAGTATATGTGCTGCTGAAGCAAGCACATCTTAGAAAGTATTTTCAAAGATGAATGTGTTCAGAATACCAGTATTCAAAGACAGGTGGCAGTGGGACAAGGTATTGGCATTTGTTAAATCCTTTTCTTATTAAGAAATGAGTATGCCATTGTAGACATGGTCCTTTGGGATTTTAGGAAAAGTGGTCACTTGGTCTTTCCGTGGGAACCACATCAATTGTGAGGCATTTCAGCATCTCCATCTTATACCTGGATTCTTTACTGAGCATTGATCATGCTGCAATATCCGTGTTAGGCTCTGGACACAGAGTGGTCAACCAGCAGGACCACCCTCTGGATGCAGTGTGGTCCTGAGTGGAGACTTGGGACCTGGATTAGATGCAAAATCTGAAAAACTGGCTCACTATCCCTGGATGTATTTGCAACTGCATCCATTTTCAATAGCTTTGGTTCCTTTAATGATGGCCTAGGGCGGGGCTAGTGATTAAATGCTAGGCTACTGGCCCAAAGGTTGAGTGTTCAAAGCTACACAGAAGTGCCTCAGAAGAAAGACGTGGTAATGTGCATCTTCTAAAAGGCCACAGGTGTGAAAACCTTATATAGCACAGTTCTAAGCGAAAACATGGATTTGCCTTGAGTTGGAATTGACTTAATGGCAACTGTAGGTAGGTTTACCCCTGGAAGAGAGACTATACTGAATTGCTCCAAATACGTTGATAAATATGTCCCAGATAACAAGGTAGATAGAATGTGCCAGTGGCTTCGAGAGCAGGAACAAAGCCTTTCAGAAGCGACGGACCCAGGCACTGCGGGTTTCAGGCAAGGACTCGCTGGGGCTGCTTTTTCTCCACTTCCTTTTTCCATCTTTCTTTCTTCGGTAAGACTCTGCCTCCATGCCCCTTGTTGGGAGCCCTTTTCGGAAGGTTTGTTGGAAGGACGCGTCTCTTGAGATGGAAGTCAACCTGCAAAGGGGAAAGAAAACAGAAAAGCAGAGTCATTTTTCTACTTTGTGGAAATGACGTTGAGGGGAGTCCAGTGTGGATATGTTTCGCCATAGTTTGAGGTTTCGAGGGCAGAAGAGTGGGAGGTATTGTAGTAAAATCAAGGAGAGCTGTGGTGTTGGCTTGGTTACTATTCCCCCAAAGAGTAGTATACAATCACTGGTGCCACGTGAGGCATACTGGAGGAATGAATATTAATTTCATTTTTTTAAATAAAATTTTTATTTTATACTGGTATACTTACAAAGCTCGTATACATTGTTTTTCAGTGGATCTTTCCTATTTCCTTAACCCACACCTCCCTTCACCCATCAAACTGTGAGACCCTATGATTACACACACCTCCCCGCCCATCCTCACCCCTCTGCTCCCCCTTCCCCTTAGATCTTCATACACATTTTACTAATTATCTTTCTATAACAATGGTCTCATACAATATGTATTAGATGACAGTTCTATCTAGCACATCACGCTACCGTGCCATGTTGCTTAGGCCCTAAGAGCCCTGATTACATAGTGTGTTGTATGTTGGCCTGCTAACTGACAGGTCAGCAGTTCGATGCACCAGCTACAACTTGGGAGAAAGACAAGGTAGTCTTCGTCCATTACTATTTACAGTCTTGGACATCCGGTGGAGGGTCGTCACCGTGAGAGGAGTTGACTTGATAACAGTGAATTGTTCTTGGGTTTGAGTTTTTTAAATTATTTTTTTTTAGCTGGTGGTGGGGTGGTTGCTAAAGCCAGAGCTGTGATTGTGTCATAACAACCTGCTTTATGCTGAATTCGTGAATCATAGGTTCATGCTCAGGCAAGCCAGTAAATGTTTCAGACCTTCAGAGAAAATCCTTAATTATTTGCAAATACAGATAGTAGAGATGAAATAGATTACAAGGATAGATTCTTGAATTCTAAATGTCCCTGCATCCTTCTGAGGGATACACTGAAACTTTTTTTCTGGGTTGGCATGCAGAGCTATAGATGTTTTAGTTGCCTGGAGAGAGGGATATTCTGGGCATGGGGAAGCTGCATACACCCCACAAGTGAATAGAGAGGGAGCGGCACAGTGTCCTGACCACATTCCCCTGGGGCATGCCTGGCTTCTGGGGACTTGGAACCACATAAGCGGAAATACATTCTACAGACTTGTTACTTGCCCCTTCACACAAGTTTTCCAGCTAGTTCTCAGTAGGGGAAAAAAATCCAAGCCGATTGCACTATTTCCTTAGAATGTAAGATTTATTTTTTTTTAAAAGTGACCACATTACTAAATATTAGCAGGTATTTGAATTTGCACAGAATAGACTTCTTTTTACACTCTGGTGGCCCAGTGGTGAGAAGCTGTTCTGCAATCCCAAAGGCATGTGGTTTGAATCCACCAGCTATTCCACAGGAGAAGGATGAGCAATTTCCTCCCTTGTGATTTACTGCCTCTTAAAACCCACTGGACGGTCAGTTATGGGTCAGATCTGACTCAGTGGCACACAACAACAACAGATTTCCTTGCAGGGCAAGGCTTAGACAGTACATGCAGTTACCTCCCTGTCCCTTGCTTTTAGGGTAGGGGCAGAGCAGTAGGATAGCAATTGGGAAAGAGATAGAAGGAACAAATTGGTTAGAAAGTTGGAACCAGGCAACAGGCTTCAGGGGAATTTACTCTTTGCTTCCTGCATCTACAAGTAGAAATAATTTATAAAATGATGGAGATGAAAGTGAAAGAAGGAACTGGGGAAACTACACAGGAACTGCAGAGGAACTTCCAAAGGACTTAAATAGCTCTTTACCTTGACCTTGTGTTAAGTCAAGGAGGTAGGAAGACACCTCAGCATGAGACCCTGCTGCAACGCCATTGTGAAGGCCAGCCCCCAGAGCCTGGCCTAGGTTTGAACTGTGGCTCTTTCACTTATTTACTGGGTGACAGTGAACAAGTTCCTCCCTTGCAGTTTTATTCCTTCAGCCCCAAATGAACATATTCACATTTGCTTTACAGGATCATTGTGAAAGTGAAATAAGTAAAGGTCTCCCACAGTATCCGGAATAGTAACTATTCAATAAATACACATACTGCTGCTTCTTGCAGGGCTGGAGTCCAGTTTGGAAGTCATCTGCAGCAGATGGATTCTACAGAGGTTTGTTTGCTGGTTCTGGTGAGGAGTAGGGTGGAATGTTGACTCCCTAATGGGTGTGAGATGATTTGATTTGGCATCCTATTTAAAAACTAATTTGAAAAAAAAACAACAAACAAAAACAAAAACTAATTTTGGCCCTCAGGCCTGGTTTTAATTGTTTTTTGTCAAACATTCTTCTAAATTGTATAGCACTGGTCTATTTGCTGTACAGAGGTAACTCATGGTTTCTGTGATGCTAAACACTGTAACACTGATGTGCCAAATGCGATAATGGATACCCATGGTGAACAGTGTTTGATGGAGCTTCCCGATTAAAACAAGCTTGGAAGCTGGAGTGGCATCCACTTCTGAAATAGTTTGCCTCCAGAAACTCTATGAACGTGGGGAAACTCTATGAACGTTATATAAGTAACAGGTCTTTCATTCATAGGGTCGCTATGAGTCATCTATGACTTGACGACACTTAACAACAATAAAACCTACTTCTTGCGGTCAAGTCAGAACCAGATCTACTCATAACTGATCGACTATTGGGTCCCTGAAGCTATAAATCGTTAGGGAGGAGACTGACCATCTTTCTCCCTCGGAGCCTCTAGTGTATTCAAACACCAGAGAGGTGTGGCCTCTGGGCTAGCAGCACAACTCCCTGTGGGCTATACCACCAGCGTTCCAATAAATACAAATTGTTGTTGTGTGTTATCGTGGCGGAACTGCCTCACAGCTCACCACCTTAGCGGTTTTCAAAAGCTGTAAACGTCACAGGAGGAGACTGCTCATCCTTCTCTCGCAGAACACCTGATAGGGCTCTGCTGGCCTAGTGGTAGTGCAAATAAGTACTTAGTATACTTTGCAAAACAACCTGCTTTGATTTTTTTTTTTAACTTGGTTTCACTGTGCTAAGAAGGGAAGTGGAAAGGTCTACAGGGCTCCAGGGCAGTACTGCAAAGAATGAAGACCAAGTAAGGAGGCTCTAGGAAAGAGCTGACTTAGGGGGATCAGCTATGGAAATGTTCTTTAAGAGGACTGGCTCATTTCTCTTTCCTCATTTGAGAAATACAGGCATGACCGTCCATGATCTCAGAGATCCCCTTAGCTCTGTGACCCTAATCTGATACACCAAACCTCAAAGGGCTCAGGCTCTGAATCAGATGTTGTTGTTGTTTTTTTTACTTCTCATTTTATTCATAAGAGATGGCCATGCAGAGTTGGAGAGAACAGCTAATCTATCCTTTTTCTGCAATAAATGGTAAGCAAGGGTTTTTCTGAGTACATGGAGTTCCAGAAGGGACAGGAGAGTGCCCTCTGGTGGTAATCCTTGTTGATGGCCCAGGAGAACGGAAGGTGTATGCCTGGATAATGTCACTGAGATTGACAGGCTAACATTTGTTGAGCACTTTCTAAATGTCAGGGAGCTCTAGTGGCCTACTGGGTCAGGAATTGTGCTGCCAACACAAAGGTAGACAGTTCAAAGCCACCCGTTACTCCTTGGGAAAAAGACAGGTGATCTCACCTTGGATGATATACAGCCTCTGAAAATCCTCTGGACAATGTGACAGCTATTGAGTAAGTTCCAACTTGATATAAGTGAATGTTTGATATGCTGGTCATTGATTTCTATTTTTTTTTTAAACCCCAAGAAACAAACACACTCAAAACCCAAATACATAACTCAGTTCTGATTCATAGTGATCTACCATTGAGTTCTATGAGCTGACTATCTTCCATGGATAGGTTGAGTCCCTGGATTCTCCCGTGACTTGACCTGCTGGAGAACACGTGATCTTTTGGGTAGCAATGTGACAGAATATTTACTGTGTCACCAGAGCTTTGTGTGTCAGTCACTACTTTTTGTACACATTCTTGAACCTCTTATGAGAAAGTAGTACCATCCATTTACAGAGGAAGAAGCTAAGGATGAGAGAGATTAGATCATTTCTCTGGAATCTGTAGATAAAGTAGCTGGAGTTAGAACCAAAGACTATACTTTTAATCTCTATATTAAACAGAAGACAGAAAGCCAAGAGAATGTGTGGAAGATAAGAATAGGAGAAGAGCTGGAGAAAAAGTAGAATATGAGAGCAGTTAAATGTTTTAATAAGTCAGAAGAGAAAGTTTGGCAAAGATTAGAACTATGCAATTTAAGACTTTAAGACTTTATGGTGTTCTGAGATGGCCTAACTCACCAGTTTGGGTTTTGCAGGACCGACAGTCACAGTCACTGTCTCTGGGTCAAAGCCAGGTGCTGTGGCAGTGACAGAGTAGGTGCCAGGAAGCAATAACCGGAAGTAATCGCCATGATCACCTAAAAGTTACAAGAACACAATATAGTTTGTTAATTGGAAAGTTGCTCCACAAAGTTAATCCTTGCATAAAAATGGATTATGCAACAGTATAATAGAACTGGTTAAAATCTAAAACATTCACACTGTTGTCATGTGCCATTGAGTCAACTGTGACTCATAGCATCTCTAGAACAACAAATCAAAATCTCACCCTCTCATATGCTATTTACATACCCAACATGTTCAAACTCATTGTTGCAGTCACTGTATGTGGTGTTAAGGGTTTATTGTTCAAAACGGCTTTCCTTTTGTTCAAAGCCATTGAGCTTGACTTTGTCATGTGAATAGACAGGATTATGTGAATAAAGTGTGTTAGGCTAAACCACAAGGAGACTGGCTAGTCTTGCAACTAAATTAATCAGCTTCAGAAGCAGATTTTGAGAATCTCACCACTAGCCAAGAAGAAGCAAGAGAATACAATGTGCCCATTCAGGGCCAGAGATTCTTGTGCCAGCTACACCTACTGCCGTGGCTGCCACAGCAGCAGCAGAGAACCAGAGACCTGGCATGAGAGGGAACTGACCCTTTGCTACTCAATGGAACCAGAGCTAAGAGCATTTTGCCCAAGTTTTCTTGAAGATTGGTGAGGAGAGCTGGTAGGAAAATTGGTGGGACTAGGGGCTTTGTAACACTTGCTTAAAGCTGTGTGCTGAAGACTGAGTGAGTGTATCTGCTACCCATCTGTCTTATAACCATTTGCCTTCCCTAATATGATTTCTATGTGGTCTGTAAGCTATCACAATGGATTTCGGACCCAGTAGAGCAGTAAGATTGGTGTTGGGATGATTAGAAAGGTGTGTGGGAGTGTGGGGAACATATCTGACCTCAAAGGAACTGGTTCTGATTTGTGGATGTTGTCAGTGGGGACAGTTCCCTATTGTGGGGTTTGTAGAGGTCAGATATGGCCATCTTCACATGGCCCTTGTTCTTTTTACAGTGTGTCAATCCATCTTGCCGAGGATCTTCTTTCTCTGACCCTCCACTTTTCCCAGCCTGATGTCTTTTTCCAAGGTCTGGGCCTTACTGACAATATGCCCAATATATGTGAGACCAAGTTCACCATCTTTGCCTCTGTGGAGCACTCTAGTGGCACTTCTTCCAATACAAGTTTATTTGTTCTTTTGTCACTCCATGGTCTATTCAACCGTCTTCACCAAACCACCACCATTTAAAAGCATCTATAATTCTTTGGTCTTCCCTTTTCATTGTTGCACTTTTCACATATGAAGCAACTGAAAATACTGTGACTTGGGACAGGTACACCTTAGTCTTTCAACTAATATCATTGCTCTTTAGCACTTTGGTGACGTCCTTAACAGCAGATATGCCCTATGCAACACATCTTTTGATTTCTTAACTGCTGCTAACATAAGTGTTGATTATGGATCCAAATAAAAGGAAATCCTTGACAATTTCAGTCTTTACTCCATCTATCATGATGGAAAATTCATTAATAGGAGTATAGGCCTTAGTTCCTTAGAAGCGACATTTCATTGTACTCTGCACTGAAAGCATTTGTTCATTTTAGAGTTTATATTTTAATAACCACTCAGGTCAAGGAAAGTATGACCAGGAGAGAGAAAGGTTGAAAGAGCTAATGTTTTTGATGTCTGATGTTTGAAAGGATACTGTGAAAGAAATGGTGCCTATCTAGAGAAATAAGAATGTGAACTACTGGTGAAAGCTATAAGGAAGTAGATTTTGCTTAACAGAAGCAAAAATATACTAACAAAATGAGCTACTAAGACAAAAGAATCATAATGCCTTATGAAATGGTGTGCACTCCACAGAGACTGAATCGCAGGGGCTGCTGTCAAGCCAAGCAACTGTCCTTATACTATATTTGTAGATGGACAGACAGCCCTGGATTGGTTGGCCAGCTGTCCAGAGTCTTGTATATGAGTACTCTTATATTCTGTAAGAGGAGTGGCCTAAAACTCCAATTTTGAAAATGCTGTTTTCAATATTCCTTCCATTACCTTCAAAAATATGTGCAAGGGAGAATAAAGTCCAAACTCTTTTCTCTTTGATTATCTCCACAGCAGGGATGTAACATTTTAGATAATGACATTTACTCCTTTAGAATTGTGATATTGCCTTTCAATGTCTCTTTAAACAAACAAGTAAAATCCATTGCTGTTGTGTCAATGTAGACTCATATCAACCCTAGAGGACAGAGTAGACCTGCCCACAGAGTTTCCAACGCTAGCACCTTTATGGAAGCCGACTGTCACATCTTTCTCCTGCAAGGAGCTGGTGGTTTTGAACTTACAGTTGGCAGCTTAACCACTTATGACCAGGGATCTTCTTTACGCACATAGCAATGACTAATTGAAATATATACAAGGAAGGAATTGAGACAGACAATAATAAGAAAATCTCTCTGCCCCTTATTAAGTGTCTGTAATTTGCTTTCAAATACTTCAGCAAAAGCCAGCATGTTACATACATTGCAGAGTTTAGACTGTGCCCCAGGGGTATCATTTTCTTAATTAAGGGTTCATATCCAGGAATGATTAGCTAAGTGTTGTATCAGAAAATCTCTAGTCCAAGGGCTTCAGCTATCTTTATTACTAATCGACACTAAATGCTTTACTAAGTAGCATAATGAATGTTTGTAATGAGTGTTTCACTGATGAAAGTAGTAGTTTGTTTATAGAGCAGAAGGTGTATTGGATGGTTAGGGGTAGGTGAGATTTGCCTACGAACTTGAAATCATCAAGCCAAATATTACCACATAAATATTTCTAAGCATGCAGGCATCCTGCTCAGATTCTGTGTGAATTTGATGAAAGCTCGACTCTATGTTCTCTAAAGAGATCCCAACGCATCTCACATGAAAAGTTCATTCAAGCAAAGAGTCACAATATTTTAAATGCAGAATCTGAAACCTCGTAGTGCAACATCAAATAATCAGAATCCTCCAACCCAATGACTGGACCAAAGGATTGTCTGGGGATCAAAGTTTGGACACCATCTCTAAGTGCAGAGACTACTGGGCTTGTTAGATTCCTACACTCAGTTTGTGTACAGGTCTTTTCAGTAGATCTGCCTAATGCAGAATATCATTTGATTTCTTCTGCTTCCATGGTAAGTGTGGATTTAAATAAAATGAAATCTCTGACTTGAATATTTTTTTCTGCTTACCATGCTATCGCTTATTGGACTATTTGTGAAGATTTTTGTTTCCTTTATGTTCTATTCTGTTACGCATAAAGTTACTATAGGTTGAAAACTACTAGGTGGCACCAAACAACAGTAACATACACGAAAGCTTGGGAAATGCCTCTGAAACACTCTAAACCAAGCAACATATATTGAAAACCAACATCAGTCTTTCCTGGTGCTGGAATCTCTGGGTGGTGGAAACATTAACATAACCAAAAGGTTGGTGATTCAAGATCATCCAGGGATGTCATGGAAGAAATGGTTGGTGACCTATTTCCAAAATGTCCACCAATGATAACCCTATTGGGGGAAGAACAACTTGGAAAAAGAAGGTAAGAATGGTTGTCCAAATCAAAGAACAAAATCAGTGTTAGTGAAATGTTAACATAGAAATTGTAGACAGAGTGTTTGCTCTGTAGTGAATGTCCTTGGCAACAACAAAAATAAATTATAAGTATATAATCTTGCATTATTGGTAATAACAATCAATCTGCAAGTGCATCAATGGCAAACAGGCAAGATAAACAGACATGGGCAGGTAAATGGGACTATACCCACAATCGTACTTACAGCAGTTGTTATTTCTGTCAACTATCAACCATCAATTTCTATCAACAGTCATATTTGTACAGTTGTCAACATAGTCATGTACATAATACAGCACCAGGGGCAACTGTTATGTAAACTTCTTAATCATAAACAAACAGAAAGAGTTGCTGGTCCTACATCCTTTAGACCATAGCCTGTGGGGACAATCAAGGTCAACTGGCATAACAGTTAATTAACAAAGACAACAAATGCTTTATGTTCCACTTTGATGGGGAGCAACTGGGGTCTTAAAGGCTTACAAGCAGCCACCTAAGATGCAACTATGTCTCTCCCTGTCTAAGCAAAGAAGAGGAAGAAAAAGCTAAGACACATTTTAAACAAATAGCCCAAAAGACTCATTAAGAAAATCTGTCTCTAGCACCCTGGCACCAGAACTAAATGGTATCTGGTGATTGACTACCACTGAGCCCTCTAAAAGTTGTCATGGCAAAAGACTACACAGAGTGTGAGAAAAATATGGAAAAAAGCTAAAAAACGTTCTTAAAAGCCAGTTTACTAGTCTTATAGAGACTATGGCATCAGACTATGGCTTTTAGTCACTGTGGGAACCTGGAATAAAACTCTCCCCCAAAGTTCAACTTTCAGCCAAGCAATAGACAGGCCTATGAGGTGACCATTCACACCAAGGAGGCACTCACTCCTTAGAATAACCAACTACTTAAGGTCAAAAGAACAGTATTTGACCAAGGAGAAAGCCCAGGAGACAGGAAGGGGTAGGATAGAAGGATTAATGGAAGAGAGAATTATAGGGTAGATTGGAAAGAATGTAATTACATTGTGGGTATTGTAATTAATGTTGAAAAACAAGATGTGTATGGATGGGCAGATGCAAAACCAATTTGCTTTGTAAACTTTTACTCAAAGGAGCTCTGGTGGCCTAGTGGCAAGAAGCTGTGCTGCAATCCCAAAGGCTGGAGAAGGAGGGGCGATCTCCTCCTGTGCCAGTTGGATCCAATTCAACAGCACACAAGTAAAAAAAAAAAGCAAACAACCAACCAAACACCTTTCATTCAAATGACAACAAAAATATTATTTTTTTAAATTTTTAAAAATTTTTAAAAGATTTTCATTGTATTATTTTTACGTGTACCATCAAATCAGATCTGACTGGTACAGGAGGAAATTGCCCCCTCCTTCTCCAGCAGAGCATCTGGTGGATTTGAACCGTGTACCTCTGGGGTTGCAATGCAGCATCTTGCCACTAGGCCACCAGAGCTCCCTTCAAAAATATTCTTAAAGTAAATAAATAAAGGTGTTAAGGAAATTGACTAATTAATAAAATAATGAAAGATAACAAAGAAAATATATTCTTAATAAGGAAAAAAGACTCTTCTCTAACTCACATAGGATTATCATGTCTACTCAAAGGCCACTGGTTTTCAATTTTTCCTAGTGTTCGTCTTTCAGGGTTATTTGCTTCAGAAGCAAGAGATGTTTCATTTAATCTGGGTTATTTGACACAACCTCTTAATTTGCTGCTCCCATTTTTGTTACCCTTCCTTCCTCCAAACCTCCTATCCCCAATGTTCTTGATGTTCCTGCTAGTCTCTATGGCTTACAAATTGGCCCTCCTGATTTTCCTGCTGAGAAGGAAGGAGTGAATTCCTACCTGAAGTGACATCGTGCTTAATCCCATCGACAGAAATGACAGCCCCTGCCAGATTGTTATAATTCTCATCACGCACCATTCCTTTGATACCCTGGTGAACCTGCAGGGGAAAGTTTATAATGTTGAGTTATGAAGATATAATAATTGTGTAGTGTTTTAGAGTCTTCAAAGCCCTTTCCTATGCATTTCCATATTTATCTTCAAAAATATTATGGTATTATCTCTGTCACTGGTCTCTCTAGTTCTTGGTCCCCACCCCATAATGTCATAGCTATACTGTGGCCAGAGTGGTCCTGATAAAGACCCAAATCAAGTCGTGTCAATCTGTGCTCAAAACCAGCTCCCTCAGAGCAAAAGCTAAAGTACCTGTGATGGTCTAGAAAGCTCACGTCCCTTGTTAGCTCTCTGATGGCCTCTCCAGTTACCTTTTCCCTGGTTAGATGTCATTGAGTTGTCCCTCAGCTCATGGCGACACCTGCACCATAGGATCAGAGCACTGTGGTCCCTAGGGTTTTCACTGATTTTTCTTTCAGAAGCAGATTTTCAGTCTTCCTTCCTAATCTGCTTCCATCTGGAAGTTTCTTTTAAACTTGTTCAGGATTATAACAATACACAGCCCTCCACTGACAGGTGGTAGACTGGTCAGCAGCAAGCCCAGGTCTCCCAGTTGCCCTCTCCCTCTCCCTTATCCAGCCATTCTCATCTCCTGGCCTTGTGTTTGCTATTGTGTCCTTTGCTGGGAACACTTGTCTCCTAGATAGCTGCAAGATTCACTCCTTCACCTTCTCAGTAAAACCTTCTTCACAACATTTCTCAACCAACATGCTATGAGTTGTGCTCAACTTGATGGCACCTAATCACAATAACAACAACATGCTATCAGATTTATTATTTTGTTTATATTCTATCTCTTCACTGGAATATGAGTTCTGGATGGGTAGATAGGTTTGTTTGTATTTCATAGCATATAGTACATTGCTTGTGTACCGTGACTGTAGTTCCACAAATATTTGTCAAATGAATGAATGTCGTTGGTAGTCACAGCCCAAGTCCACTGAATTGAATCAGTGCAAATGTCAGACCTGAGCCACACAAATACCTTCCCTGGTACTTTGAAAACTGTTCATTTTGATAACCATGAAAGTTAAAAGGTGAGGTATCTACCTCTTCCAAGAATTGGATTAGGGCCTCACGGTTAGCCAGCCATTCACGCTGCAACTCTTCTTTTGGAGGGAACTTCTTGCAGCTTAATTCCAATGTGATCTCAAAGCAATTGGTGTGGAGATAGTTAAAGTCTTGCATTCCTAGGGGAAAGTGGCAGATCTCAATATATCTGAATAGCTAACATTCCCACATCATTTCCCACAACATCTCACCTCATCTCCAAGCCACATCACCTCCCACTATAGTTTATCTCTCTATCTCTTTATTTATTCATTCATTCATTATTTATTTATCTATTTATTTTTTGTGGTTTCTCTCTTGATCTCTATTTCTTTTTCTCCCCTACAAAACTTTTTCTGGTCCACATGCCTTTCTCCATTTCCATTGTTCTCTTTTCAAAAACACCTACTTTATTATCTCCATCCCCTATATCTCTTCCATTTCATGACTTAAATTCACTTCTTGTCTTTTACCCTCAAGGGTTGGGGTTTTTTAAATTAGTTGTTAATTAGTACAAAGCAGATTGGACTAAGATATCCTTCAGTTCTGGGAAGTTAAAGGTAAATAAATGCCTTGCTTTTGTATCGCTCTTCCTACTCAACAACATAACACTAATCTGAAAGTGGTTATTTCATATCGTGAAAGCACAGAAGACAGCTGTATTTATCCACAACCAAATGCTGGCTTGCTCCGATCCTCTGTATTCATAGTGCTTATTGTTGTGTATGTTTCTGATTATTTGAAGGAAGTTTTTACCCAATTGATCTGGGTTAAGAACTATCCATTTAATCCATTTTTATCTGGTCTTTAAGTTGTTGAATACTAGTGGTTCTTCCAGAAACGATGGGAAAGTTGGAGACCACTGTGGCCTGTTATATTGGTCCTCAAATCTTAGGATGCATTGGAAGAATCCCCCAGAAGACTTGTTAAAACACAGATTGTAAGGCCTTACCTCTAGTTTCTGATTCAAGAGGTCTGTGGTGGAGTCTGAGAGTTTGAATTTTTAATGAGTTCCCACATGATGTTGATGATGCTGATCTCTGTTCTGTTCTATCATTGTACTAAAAAACCCTCAAACTGATTGCTGTCAGCCCTGTAACTGTCTCATAGCTGACCCTCCAGCAGGTTTTCAGAGGCTATAAGTGAAATCACCTTTCTCCTAAGCAGCAGCTGGTGGATTTGAACTGCCTGCCTTTGGGTTGGCAGTGCAACTCCTTACCTACTAAGCCACCAGAACTCCATGCTTTATCACTGTTGCTATATGAAATAAAATCTATTACTGTAGCCTCATTTAATTTAGAGCAGTGACTCTCAATGGAGACTGGGTCATGCTTGCCCAGAGAGTTTTATCACCCACTTCCTAAACAACATGCCTCCAGGAACTCTATGAACTTTGATAAATGTCGATAAGGTAGAGGGCCTTCAGGCCTTTTGTTCACAGGGTCACTAAGAGTCGTGCTGGACTGGAGAGCAATCAGCAACAACAAGGTTTCTATGAGTCAGAGATGATGCAATGACACTTGACAACAACAAGGCCATGAGGGTGAAAGAAAAAGAACAAATGTAATCTGGAAATATATATTTGATATTATAGTTTAAATGGCGAGAGGGAATTTATTGATTTTCTAATACAAATTAAAGAAAGTAAGTTCAACCAAACTGTCCCTGGTGTTCAAGTAAGTTTTAAGCACCTCTTACTGTATGGAATTTATGGTAACACCACCTTTCTTCCTCCCTACTCTACACTAAATCAATATGGTCATCAATGTGTGGCCAGATCAGATTTGAGACGATAAGGAAAGATACTTAAAGATGGTTCTTAAAGGCAGGAATTTTAATCCATTTGACAGTGGGCTGACACACACAGAGAAACCAGAGCGGACTCAACTTTGTTAAATGCCAGAATGATAAGCAGAAAGGGGAGAGTACAGATCCAAGCACTGACGTAGGAGACCAGAAGTGAGCGCTTTCAGGAAGCTGGTGTGGGAGCCTGAGTGAGTTCCAGGACCGTGGAACCTGCTACACGTATAAAGTCATGAGCTACCATCTTGGAGGTGGCACCACTGTTCCCAACTCGGTTTCTCAAGAAATTCCGTTGCTATGCAGTAGGTGTGTTGCTTTTGTTTTCCAGGAAGGAGATTACATTTCTAGCAGGGCATCAACATGTAATTTTTTTTCCTGTTCTGATGACCATTCTAGTAAACTTAGGTTTTACAAATTTTGAGTTCATTTTACTTTGCTTCATCAGCCATGACAGAATCAGGAAGAATGAGTAAAAACCCCACCCAAAAGATCTGCTTTAGCATCTTCCCTGTCCCTGATTCCCTGGGGAAGGCTCATAAACAGAGATTCTATCTACACCATCATGGATGGTGAAGGTTCACAGAAGGGGGAGAGCAGCGCTTGCCAGGGGTCTCTGCTCTTCCAAATTACATTGTCCATGGCCAGCATCCACAGTAAATGCCTGCTTGTGGACAGATGAGTGACAGGCAAGTTAAGGAGAACTGGCTGTGCCCAAGCCAGCTCTTCAGTTCCTCAATTGGCATATAAGATATGCTACTAAATTTTTAAAAATGAAAAGTCACAAAATGGGCATATCTGAACACATTCCAAGCATTGTTTTATTTCATTTGACATCAAACATAAGTATTGTTCTTCTTCATGCGAATATGCAGAAACCTAAGCCCAGAAAGATTAAGTAACTGGTTTGTAGTCACATAAATGGGCAAGCTGGGTTTCAGCCTGTGATCTAACCCCAGAGCTCACGCTTTTAACCATTGGCTATATAGTTTCCCTCCTGTGCCCGAATTTACTGTGCAAACAACTAGTTTCAGAGGCCCAATAGGTGTCCCAAACTAGACAGCTGTACTCCATATGGTTTTCAATGACTCTGATCTTTCAAAAGTGGATTGCCAGGACTTTCTTCCAAGGCAGCTCTGGGTGGATTGGAATCACCAGCCTTTTGTTTAAGTGCCTAACCATTTACCATTCTCTGGGATTCCATTAAAGTGATACCATATACCAACCTGAGACGCCTCCCTTTTTAGATCTCTGTTGCATGCAGTGACAAGATGGATTGACTTAGTGACTGGGATAATGGAGTGTGCCAGAGATGAAGAGGTTGGCTCTGGATAGGGCTCAGAGCAGTTGTACATAGGGTCGGTATGAGTCAAAAGAGACTTAACGGCACCTAACAACAACAGCAATATTGAATATAAAATTTTATAATATTCCTACTTACCGCCTAAGAAAACAAATCATTTAATAGAAAGTATGAACATTTCTCAACTTCAGCTTGCAATATACCCTAGACCTTTCTTACCTTTGCTGAGTGAATACCAGGAAGCCCCATTGGTGATGCCATCTGGAAAATAATCTCCACAGTTCCAACCTTGGTACATCCATCCATGTGCGTAAGAGTAGACTTTGGCCAACTATAGGAAAATCCAGCAGTAACTCACCTTGAGTATTCCCAACTTCTATGGCAATGCTCAAATTTCAAATGAGAGCAAAGATAAGAATCCCATCAGGTAAAAGTAAAGGATTATTTATTTGAACGAAAGAAAGAAATGGAGAAATAGAGTGTGAGTTTATGTAAGTATAGTTGACAAAAATTAAGAAATCTAGATCTTTTCTCCTACCATTCTGACTTTAAGTTTCTTAATGCACAAAATGAAGAGTAAGACTACAAATCCAAACACTAGTTAATGTCAAGTCAATTCTAACTCATGGCAACCTCATATTGGCAAGCCCATGGCAACCTCAAAACAGAACTGTACATCACAAGATTTTTCATGATTCTGATCTTGCAGAAGTAAATCACTAGGCTTTTCTTTTGAGGTCGATTTGAACCATCAACCTTTTAGTATCCCAGTGCTTAAGCATTTGTTTCACCCTGGAATCTATTTGAATTATTATTTATAGCTTTTAATAGAATATTTTTTTTTTCATTATAAATGCATCTCAGCCAGGTTACTATAACATTCCCAGCCTAGACTCAAGGCCATCTCAAGAACAGATTTGATACACTTAACACTAATGATCAAAGACCAAAGTTGGTGGATGACAACAAAGACATTATTTATGAAGAAATCAAAAGGTCATTAAAGAGACAGGAAAAAAGAAAATACAAACATGGATGTCAAGGAGTCTCTACATCTCTCCCTAGAATGGAGAGAAGCTAAATTGAAATGAATAAATGATGAAATAATAGAGTTGAACAGAAAATTCTAAAGGGCAGCTCAAGAAGACAAAGCAAAATGTTATGATTAATTGTGCCAAGACCTGGAGTTAGGAAATCAAAAGGGAAGAACAAACACACTTCCCATTTCTAAACCTGAAAGAGTTGCAATATTAAAAGATTCTATGGGCACAACATTGAATTATGCAGGAAAGAATACATAGAGTAAAAATTTTAAAAAGGAATATACAGTCACTGTACCAAAAAGTATTAGTTGACAGTGAACCTTTTCAGGATGTAGCAGATCAAGAACCAGTGGTATTGTCTATGACCATACCACCCTGAACATGCCCGATCTTGTCTGATCTCGTAAGCTAAGCAGGGCTAAGCTTGGTTGGTATTTGGATGAGAGACTACCTGGGAATACCAAGTGCTTAGGCGTTAAAAAAAAAAACACCAAAAAAAAAAAACTAATGATGCCAGAGGAAGAAGTCCAAGCTTCACTGAAAGCACTGGAAAAACCCAAGACTTCAGGAATTTACAGAACACCAGTTGAGATGTTTCCACAAACAGATGCAATCTTGGAAGGTGTCATTTATCTATGACAAGAACTTTGGAAGATATCTATTTGGCCAACTGGAAGAGATTCATGCTAGAAATGTCCATTCTAAAAAAGAGATGATGCAACATAAGGTAGAAAGTATAGAATAATATTACTAATATTCCATGCAAGTAAAATATTGCTGAAGATTATTAAAAAATAGTTGGAGCAGCACATCTACAGGGAATAGGCAGAAAATAAAGCTGGATTCAGGCGAGATTGTTTAAGGCTGATCTGTGTTTTATTTCCTGTAAACTGTAAATAACGTCTAAACTGTATGTTGGGAAATGAATAAGGAAGATCAAAGAAGAATTGATGCCTTTGAATTATAGTGTTGGTAGAGCACTGAATACAGCAAGGGCAACCAAAAGAGCTAACAGATCCATCTAGGAAGAAGTGTAGGCTGAGTACTCCTTAGAAGCAGGAATGGTGAGACTCTGACTCACACACCTTGGGTATGTTATCAGGAAGGGCCAGACTTTGGAAAAGGACATCATGTTAAAAAGAAGAGGAAGACTCTCAAGGAGATGGATTTACTCAGTGGCTGCAATAGTGGGCTTTAGCACAGCAGAGATTGTGAGGAGGACGCATTATTATGAAGGGTTTCGTGCTAGTGCACATAGGTTCACTATAAGGTGGAGCCTATTTGATGGCACTAGAAGGACGGACAGTCTCCTCCTGTTGGACTTACTGAATATGAAAATCTACTGGAGAGTCAGCTACGGCTTGACTCTGACTCAACGGTACACAATAACAAAAACCATAAAGTTGTAAATTAGGCCAAAGGAACTTTCTTACCTAATGCTAGTATTTGTCAAAAGCATTGTTAGTTGATTTGCATATCTTGTTGGCTTTTATTATAATAAGTATGTTTTCATGTTAAAATAACTGAATTGTAACATTTTTCCATTAGTATTTTTATGGATTTATAAAAAGGTTTATCATGCTTAAAAAAATAAAATTTACCTTATTATAAGCCCCTAAAAAGCACACAATATTTTATTTTCTTAATCTTTTTTAAAATTAAAATAACTTAAGTCTATGTAATAGTCTTCTTTGTCTTCTTGGTGTTGAACTTCAACCCATATTGAAGACTATAGTTCTTGACCTTCTGCAGCAAGTGCTTCAGGTCCTCCTCAGGTGTGCCTGACACAGGCCATGGTCTTTGCTACGAACTTGCTATGCATCAGAGAGCTGGACAATGACTAAGTATGACAAAAAAAAACCCCGATGCCTTTGAGCTGTGATGTTAGAGAAAACCCTTGAATATATCATGGTCTGCCAAGAAAGCAAATAGGTCTGTCTTGGAGAGGGTGAAAACAAGTCTCTCATTGGAGGCTAGGATTTTGAAGCTCGACCTCACATACTTTGGACATGAGGCCAGGAAGGACTGGTCCTTGGAAAAGGACATCATGCTCAGAAGAGTGGAGGGGCAGCAGTGCAGAGAGGAAGACCCCGGATAAGATGGATTGACACAGTAACTGGGGCAATGAGGGTAGGTGTGTCAGAGTCACTGAGTCTGGCTCAGGACAGGTCAGGCTTCAGAGCTGCTGTACATAGGGTTGCTATAAGTCACAGACAGCTCAGCGGCACATAACAACAACATTAATAGTAACATTCCTATATTTGGGGGTAGGGGGTGGGGTTTGGGGAGGTGCGGGGGTGGGGGATTGTGTACCAATGAGGGAGCTTTTCTTCTTTTCTTTTGCTTTTCATGGAGAGGAGCAAATGGGGGGGGAGGGGGGAGGGGTTTGTGCGGGGAGAAGGGTGCAACAATGAATGAATGGAATCCCAAAATCTCTGTAGATGTTCATTGAAATGAAAAACAAACAACCTAAAAAAAAAATAGTAACATTCCAAATATTTTCTTAAATTCATGTAAGTGGCAACATAATTTTTTTCTTCTTCTCATTAAATAAAAGTAAATAAGCTAATTTAATGCATTTTTATAGAATCTTTCCCTTTCTTTCAAGCATTTCTTCCATGATTTAATCACTAGCAACTGTTTTGTAACTTAGCCTAATGATGAACTTGCTAAGAAAATTATTTCCTTTTTATATGTGTACATATACAAATATGTGCACATGGGCAAGATTTTCAATTCTTTTTCCTGGACTCTTATCTAACTGTGCCCTGTGTTCCTGACATGAAAGCTCATCACCTGAACCCCAAATTCCTCTGATTGGACAAGCTGCTGTTGGACATACCTTTTGGAAAAGCTTGTCATCAGGGGTGGGCGTGTTGGTAGTATGGCGGTAGCCACGGACGCGATGTTCAAGGGATTTGTCATAAGGATAGTTGGCCACGACTGCTCCTCCATGGAGATTTGCAGAAAGAACAAAGTTGAATGAACGTAGCCACTGAATCACAGCCCGGGTCTCCACCTCCACCTGTGAGGAGATGAGAGATTGACAGCGAAGGTGCAGTTAACCAAAAGACCGTTAGTCAGAAAGTCACCTGAGGGCATGAAAAATCAAGATAGCTTCTGGGATACCTTTGAGGAAACAAAGGCAAATCTAAATACATCTGGAAAATGCTGGTATATAGTAATGCTTTTCAGCCTCTTCCTTCCTGAACACTTTTGCTGTAACATGTGAAAAAAACCCCTCCTGTAGTTGTATCAAAACTTTTCGGATTAAGCACACTACAATACAAGCTATTCTTGGCTAGGCTGTGAAATTCCACTCCTTTTATTGCACATTGTACTGTTAGTGAGTGATAATATCTTAAAGAAAGTCTTGCACTTGGACTACTTCTAAACAACTAAACAATTCACAATTATAATATTCTTCCTCCTCTCAAGATGTGAATGACGTGTGTTAATGTGAAATAGCTCTTCCTAGACCAAGGGTCAGTCATGAGGACTGAGATGGGATGAGTAAGTTTGATTCGCATACAGAATGGATATAAAACCAAAGGAACTGGTCCTAACCTAGTTCCTAAAAGAGCTTGGCCTGTTCGAAGCACTCCTTCCTTTACCTGCTACACGCTTGTTCATTAGCTCAAGACCAACTACTTTCTGGTTCCTCTCCCTCAAGGCTGTTCTGTCAGACTAACTTCTCATTATTTTATTTCCTTTTAAGATCCAGGTAGAGGAATGAGTGGGACTCTAATTATTAGTGGTTCAATTACTATATTCTTCTTAGACAAGTTTAATAAACCAGAACATTCTTTTGACAGGATTATGCTGACTGGTTTGAAATTCTTTTTGCTGTGTTGCTTCCCGTGAGTCAATAGTGTGTTTAATCTCTGAAATCTCAATAGTCCATCAGCGTGGCTTTTGTTTCATTCTGGGGGGTGCTGGAAATCTGAGAATATTCCATCTAGAAAACTGTCAATAAAAAGGCTTAGACTAGTTTTCTATTTATTTCCCTAATCTCTGAATTTAGATATTTACAAATTGAGTGTTTAGAACTAGTTCACACAATGTAAAGAATGGAGGTGGTGTGATGCTCCAAGGATGGCAATAGTTATTCCCAGAAGCAAGTCCACCAGCAGGACAAAAGCACATTAATGGGGGCAAGAGGTGGGGGGGAGTGTGGGAGTGAAGAAAATAAAGGAGGAGGGACAGGGGGATTGTGGGTGTCCTAGAGAATAAGAGCATCCAGTGGCCTCAGCACCTTTCAGACAGGATATATTCTCAGTGTTTAACCTTTTAGCCATATCTGTCTAAATGTAAGTGTAACTCAAAAATAAAGAATGAAAAGTCTGAGTGCTATATAGAGTACTAAACAGAGCTGACCCTCTGACAGGTCTTCAGAGGCAATAAATAGCACAGGAGTTGATTGCCCACCTTTCTCCCAGGGAGCAATTGGTAAATTTGAACCATGTACCTTTGGCTTGGCAGTGTAACTCCTTACCACTAAGTTACCAGATCGTGAGGATGGCACAAGAAAGGGCAAGGTTCCGATCTGTGGCTCATAGGGTTGCTCTGAGTTGTAGTGGACTTGATGGCACTTAACAACAAGAAGTTTTCCCAGAATTGGAGGGTGGCACTAATTCCAGACTCCTTCTATTTTATTATGGTTTTATAGTATTTTCTTTTCTCTTCCTTTAATAGTACTGTACTTGTACCAAGCTCAAGCCCATAGTTAGTCACTACATCAATCCATCTTCTTGTCTTCACAGCATCTTTCTGTCTTCTGCACTCCACCTTTCCCAGCATGATGTCTTTCAAAGGACTAGCCCCTCCGGTCCAGAGTATGTGAGGTGGAGATTCACCATCCTTGCCTCTATGGAGTCCTAAGGTTGCACTTCCTTCAAAGGGGATTTGTTTGTTCTTTTGGCAGCCCATGAGATAGTCAGTAGACTTTGCCAACACCACAATTCAAAAGCATCAGTTCATCTTCAGCCCAACTTTTAGTGCATAGGAAGCAATTGAAACTACCATAGCTCACATCAAGCATACCTTGGTTTTAAACTACTTTAAAGAGGAAAGGTTTAATGAATGGAAATCCAAAATCTCTGTAAATGTTCTTTAAAATAAATTTTTTTTAAAAAAGAGGAACGGTTTGAGCTCCATGATATTTCCTGCCAAAATGCTACAGGACATGAAGTGCGGGAGGAAGAAGGACATGTAAGGTTCAAAGCTAAAAGTTCAATGAACTTGTTGTTGTTGTTATGTGCCATCAAGTCGCTTGCAACTCATGGTGACCCTATGTACAAGATCTCTAAATTCCGTTCTATTCTGTGCCAACCTAGCCATCTCAAAGGCACTCATTCCCACCACTCCACTCACAGAATCAATCCATCTCATCGAAGGTCTTCCTCTCCTGCGCTGCCCCTCCACTCTCCCAAACATGATGTCCCTCTCCAAGGACCAGTCCCTCACTGCAACATACCCAAAGTATTTCAGACGAAGGTTCAGAATCCTTGACTCCAAGGAGCATTCTGGCTTCACCTTCTCCAGGACAAACCTGTTTATTCTCCTAGTAGTCCATGATATATTCAACACTCTTCTCCAGCACCACAGCTCAAAGGCATCAATTCTCTTTCTATCATCCCTATTCACTGTCCAACTCTCTGATGCATAGCACATGACTGTGAAGACTATAGCCCAGATCAGGTGCACCTTAGTCTCCAGGCTGACATCATTGCTCTTCAGTACTCTTGAGAGGTCCCTCACAGCTGACTTTCCCAATGCAATTCGTCTCTTGATTTCCTGGCTGCTGTTACCAAGAGTGTTGACTGTGGAGCCAAGTAAACTAAAACTGTTAACTATCTCAATCTCTTCACCATCCATATTGATGCTGCCAATTGGCCCAGTGGTGAGAATCTTTGTTTTCTTGATGTTGAGCTTCAATCCATATAGGAGGCTGCAGTCCTTGACCACCTGCAGCAAGTGCTTCATGTCCTCCTCAGTTTCAGCAAGCAGGGTTGTGTCATCTGCATAATGAAGGTTGTTGATGACTCTTCCACCAATCCTGATGCCACATTCCTCCTTGTACAGCCCGTATTTTGCAATATTCCTTCACATTTGTTTGGTATTCCCGTTTACAAGGTGCTGTCACAGACATTGCCTCAATGAATATTATTAAGTCAGGATTATATAAAAGGAGAAGAAAATCTAGAAAGCTTATGCCTTCTGAAACTCTTTCTACAGCTAATTGTTGTGGCATATACCGTTCATTGTTTGTCAGAGAAAATCTCTACAGAATGCTAGAGACTAGAGTTCTCTGTCAAATAAAAATTCCATAGCCAAACTTACTGCTGTTGAGACTCTACAGGACAGAACAGAGTTGCCCTGTAGGGTCTCCAAGGCAAACCATTTTATGGAAGAAGACTGCCACATCATATTGGACCCCCATAAAATGCGGGTGGATTATAGTAGCCAATCGTTCCATCAGAAGACAAGCACTTTAAACACTGCTCCACCAGGACTTAACAATTACTATCTGTGTAAATTTAAGTTATTTTATCTATAAGCATAGTATCTAAAAAACAGGGATGGATAACACTGATTGTTGCATTCATCATGCGGTACCATTATGTTGTTAAGTGCCATCGAGTTGTAGACGACTCATAGCAACCCTATGAATGAAAGACCTGAGCACTGTTCAGAGGGTTTCCGGAGGCAAGCAATTTCGGAAGTGGATGCCACTCCTGCTTCCAAGCTTGTTTTAATTGGAAAGCTTCACAGACACTGTCCACCATGGGTAACCATTCTCACATTTGACACATCAGTGTCACAGTGTTTAGCACCACAGCAACCACAAGTTACCTCTGTACAGCAATGCACAGATCAGTGCTATACCACTAAGAAGAATGTTTGACGAAAAAAAATTTAAACTAGGCCTGAGTGCCACAGATTAAAATCACCCACCTTGGGCTTGGCATGAGCATAGGCGGTATCATTATAATAAACTGAAAACTGGCTACAAACATCTTTGTAAGTTGTAAAGTACCATGCAACTTTATAATACCACTTTCACCTCCTTTGCTGGTACCAAATATTTAGTGAGCAGATACTACATTGAGTGCTTTCTGCTGGGGGAGGGAATAAGTACAGAGTCATAAAGCACAGTTATTATTGCTCTAACACAGCATCGTTGTTGTTGTTATTGTGTGCCATCGCGAAGGAACTGATGCATAGCTGACCCTCCAGTAGGTTTTTAGAGGCAATAATTACATGGGAGGAGGTTGCCCATCCTTCTCCCGCTGAGCAGCTGGTAGCTTTGACCTATGTGCCTTAAGGGTTGTAGTGCAGATACTTACTACTAGGCCACCAGAGCTCCCTAACAGAGTTGAGTTGGTACGTAATCCTTGCTTGAAGAAATTCTCACTGTTAATACACTGTTTGTCTATGTCAGTCTCATCTCCTACCTGACTTTTCCAGTTGTCTGGGAGGGGCAGGTGGTGGTTGGGGCCTCCATACTTCTCATTGAAGTAGAAGTAGGTGTTGAGGTCAGGGAAGTTTCGGTTCAGGTCCACGCCGTTTGCATTGTTTCTGCCAAGCAGATACTCAGAACTGCTTGGGCCCTCAGGGGAAAGAAATAAAAGATAAACGTGAGTGTTTTAGAATCAATACCATATTTAAAGAATATATTTTTTCCTTTAATAGACCTTTAGCTTGACCAACCAAGTAATGCAGCAGTTGTGTTTTTTTTTTTTTCTCTTTAACCTATTCAAAATCCCAGGAGTGTGGTTTTAGTTTCTCAGGGTAGACCATGTACCAGAGGGAAGACCCAACAGAAGTAAAGAGTTTCAGGGCAATGAAAACACGTGTGTAAACGGCTTTATTGAGATGAAATTTTATATAATATAAAATGCACTCATTTTATGAGTACAGTTGCCTGGGTTTTAGTGTTTTTCTGAGCTGTATAATCCATCATCACTAACTAATTTTGGAGCATTTCTAAGAAGAAACCTACTTGTTCACTCACTCTTCATTCTCAACTTATTCTTCTCTTTCCCCCTTCCTCTTCTCTCTCTCTCTCTTTCTCCCTCTCTCTCTCTCTCACACACACACACACACACACACACACACACACACACACACACACACGCTGCTGTCATGTCCCAACTGTCTTATAGGTGACCTCACAGCAAGCTTCCTAGGCTGTAAATCATATGGAAAGAGATTACCCATCTTCCTCCAACAAAGCCACTGGTGGATTTGAACTGCCAGAGAGGTGTCACCTTTGGGTTACCAGTGCAACTCCCTAGAGACTACAGCACCAGAGCCCCTCAACCTCTCCTGAGACAACCATCAATGTTCTTTTTGTCTCTATATTTGTTATCTAAAAGTATAACTAATATGCTCTGTCTCTCAAACTGAGGTGGGCAAAGTCGAGTCTGATTCAGTGACCCTCCACCAAGTTTCCAAGGTTGTAAATACTTACGAGAGGAGATGGCTCTCTTCCCTACAGGGGAGCAGCTGGTGATTCCAGCTACTGATCTGGTTAACTGCCTGACGTGATATGCTCTAACTAACACCAGGGTTGCCTAGATTAGTGTATTCTGAACGTTTTGCACAAATGAAATCTTGTAATATTTAGTCTTTTTTTTTTTTTTTACTCTTTCAATAGCTTTGTAGTTTAAAAAAATCTTCAGACTGCATTTGTCTGGCCATAAAGAGAACCATCAAATTGAGCATCTTATTTTGCATTTTCCTTTAGGAAGGAAAGGAAGTAAAAGCTCATCATCTTTCCCTTTTGTCTATGCCACTGTAAATGTAGTTAAAATAATAAAGAATGAAAATTTGAGCAACTGAAAAGGTTAGATGAGAACTTCGGGAATCAGTGAGTTTACGTAAGTGGGGAAAACAACTTAAAGCAGCAGGATGAAAATGGTGACACATGTCAAAGAATGTGTAATTAATGCCACTGAATTTTACATGGAGAAACTGTCAAGATGGTGCATGTGTTGTGATATTCTCGGTAACAACTACATTTTTAAAACACCGAGTACTGTTGTTGTTGTTGGTTGCCTTCGAGTCGAGCACGATTCATAGTGACCCTATGAACAAAAGGCCTGAAACCCCTCTACAACTATCGACATTTAGCAAAGTTCATAGAGTTTCTGGAGGTATGTTGTTTAGGAAGTCGATGCCACTCCTGATTCCTATATTCCCATTTAAAAACAGCAACCACAAAACACTATCCCCTAGTCCATGCCAACTTAATAGTGACCCAACATAGAGTTCTGTGGGGGATTTGTGCCCATCTTTCTCCTACTAAGGTGGGTTCGAACAATCAACTTTTTGGCTAAGCAGCTCTATTTGTTGGGCTCTATACCAGCAGGACTCTGAGTTTAAACTTGAGAGGAGAGCCCTATAAAAACATAATAAAGAAAGGAGATTCTAGAATCAGCCTCAGCTGCCAACTCTGTGAAACCTCAACCCTCTGATATCTCTTCACAAAAAAGAGCTGGCAGTGTGGGAGGAGGGCTGAATGCTCATTGACTAGAAATATCTTGCCATAATCCTTCACATTTATCTAGTGTTTTCCTATTTCCAAGGTGTTGTTGCAGGCATTGCCTCATTAATCCTCAAAACACCTCGGCGATGATATTGGATAAGGCGGAAGGTATTGAGAAAGCTGATATGCAGAGGGAGCCCACGACTGTTGACTAAGGTGCTACAGGCCTAAGAGAAAGTCTTCATATTTAGTTCTATTTCTGTTAGTCTTTTCCTTATTAAGGAGTTACGGCTAGTTGGTGGTGAAGGCATTGGGTTGAAAACCCAGAGGTCAGCTGTCGAAAGTTGAAGCGAACTGCTTCTATCAACATTTGTAGCCTACCAAACCCGAGGGAGCAGCTCTACTCTGCCACGTGGTGGCTATGAATCAGGACTGAGCGGGCCTCCAGAGGAATGCTGCAAACCTTTCAAAGCATGTGGTCCAAATCCACTGGCTGTTCTTTCTGAGAAAGATGTACAATCTCTTCCCATGTGATTTACAGCCTCTAAAAATCTGATGGAGGGTCAAAACTAGTCAAATTGACTCAATGGCAATGCTGTGGCTGTTAGGTGCCAGGGAGTTGAGGACAGCTCACGGTGAACCCAATGAACAACAGATAGGATCCTGTCCTATCCTGTGCTATGCTCAGAATCTCTGACACATTTGACCCCATTGCTGCAGTGACTGTATCAATCTATCTAGTTGAAAACAGTACTTGGTTATCTTAGCTCGTATTTTTCAGTCACATGGAATGGATAGGACACATTGCACACTGGTTTTTACATCCCTAAGATGCCTTTCTTTCCTTGGCACCACCCTGGGGCTCAGTACCTGGGCGGCAGCCACCTCGTAGCCATCTGGGTTCATCGAGGGCAGGATGTGAATGCGAGTGTCCTCGATGAGCCGGATGATGCGCTGGTTCCCATTGCGGTACTCCTCACACAGGAACTCTGACAGCTGCAGTAGCAACTCGCGGCCCAGCACCTCATTGCCATGCATGTTGCCGACATACTTGACTTCTGGTTCCACTGCAAACATGAGAAACGCACATGTAAGAAGACAAGAGATTATCACTCATTTCTAACCTTGCAGAGAAATTCTTTCCCTCTTTCAGGGATTTTATAACATGTAATGTTTCTGTGTGCATGTGTGCTTCTCTTAGTTCTTTTCCAGTGATTCTTGAGCCCCATCCCATCTAACTGCAACTGCAGATGCTATAAACTTTATACCAGAGATATCAATGACAACCATTTCTTGGACTCTAACCTGTATTGGAAGAAACCTTGGTGGCATAGTGTATATGTGGGGATCTGCTAATTGTTAGATGAGTCCATGATGGATGGGCAGTGGTGGTCTCCTTGGGCATCTGGTGGGAGGCAAACGGGCTGGAGAGCAGTGAGGTGTTGGTTTTCTGTGTCGGGGTCCCTGTGTTTTGTAAAGAGTGGCTACTAACCAAAAAGTTGACAGTTCAAATCTACCCAGAGGCTAGAAAGAATGGTCTGGCAGTTTATCTCTGAAAGACCAGCTGCTGAAAACTGCAGAGTGGACTTCTATTCTATCACACATGGAGCCTCCAGGAGTCAGAATCTCCAAAAACTGGTTGTACTGGGTTTTGAGCATTTTCTGTTCACATTTTCTGTTCATAGAATTATTGCTTATTCTATGAACTTGGAGAAATGATGAAAGTTATACAAGTGTTCAAGTCTTTCATTCTTAGGGTCGCTATGAGTCGTCTATGATTCAACAGCACTTAACAACAATAACAGCAACAAGAGAGCTTTGTTGGCCTAGTGGATAGAAAGTGATGCTACCAAGACAAAGGTGGGTGGTTTTAATCTGTGGCCCTTAGGTCTGGTTTTTAATTGTTTTCTGGTCAAACATTCTTCTAAGTGGAATACCACTGGTCTGTCTGTTTGCTGTACAGAGGTAACTCATGGTTGCTGTAAAGCTGAACACTGTGGCACTGATGTGTCAAAGACAAGAATGGTTACCTGTGGTGGACAGTATTTGGTGGAGCTCCCCTATTAAAACAAGCTTGCAAGCTGGAATGGCATCCACTTCCAAAATAGCTTGTCTCTAGAAACTCTATGAACGTGGAGAAACGATGAAAGTTATACAGGTGTTCAGGTCTTTCATTCATAGGGTCACTATGAGTTGTCTACAACTTGACTGCACTTAACAACAACACATTGCTTACTCCTCTCCTTCATATCAGAGAAGGGTATGTGCTGAGATAGGAAAGTGTCTACTTATGTCATTCCTTAGCCTTCTCTTTGGCCATGTTGACCAATCAACTGAAGTGAGAACTGAGAATCTGAAAAGTGACTGTGGAACTATTCACAGAAAATCATTCTTATACCTTCTTTTGAAAGGAAGTGATTGCTCTTCCACCCAACACTTGTCTGCATCCACATTTTTTGAGTCTATACCTCTTCTTCTTCTCATGTCTAGATTTTCGTCACCCTCCTTCTAGGTCAATTCAAGTGTAACTTACTCTGAGAAGCCATCATCTTGGATTCTTACAGCTAAGATAAACTCCACTGAACATCTTTTTATGGTCTTTATCACTTTTTATTTTGAGTTTTGTCTTTATTTCCATGTCTTATTCTTTTATTGGACCTGGCCTTAAGAATACAATTCTTACTTTTTTTAGGATATAATCCATAGTTATTTCTCTTTGCACATCTACTCACTTTTCTGAAAAGCATATTTATAATCCGGAGGGTCATGTAGTAGATTTTCCATGTGTATTGATAGGTTTTATCTTTCCTACTTTTTTTGGTAGCAAATATCCTCTTTTAGGACAGTATGGTGATAATAGATGACAGGTAGTTATCTTCAACATTTTTATAGTGTAAAATAAGAATTGGAAAATCCAATTAGTCCCCTCCAACTTGTAATTAAAAAAAAATTCTCCTTCATTGAAATCTAAAAGTGTAGAAATCATGACTCAGTATAACCTAGCAAAGTACTGTTGCTTAACTTGAGTTTTTGGCTCTTTGTTAAATACATCCAGATTATAACCCTGTTTCAATACAATGCAGTGACCTATCCCATTTCTCCTTTGCTCTATTGCTCTTCCTTTGCTGGTTCTATTTTCCTATCTCGTGCCAGCATGGCCTTCAAATCTTGGACCACCACATCTTTCACATCTCTACTCCAAAGTCACCCAAGTGAAGAAGCCTCCCCTGAGGAGCACTGAAACTCTCCACGTGTCTCCAGTGCCTCCCTGTTTCTCTGTCTTGACTCTGTTTTCTCTACTGCATTGGGCAAACCTGCTGACAAGGAACTCCTGAAAGTGCTAAAGAACAGGGATGCTGCTTTATAGACAAACGTGTGCCTGATTTACAAGCTATGTTGCTTCATATGCATGTGACAGACAAGGAATGAGGAAGACTAAGGAAGAAGATTCGATGCCTTTGGGTCATGGCCTTGGGGAAGAGTTTTTTAATACACAGCGGACTGCCATAAGAACTAACAAACCTATGCCGGAAGAAATGCAGCCAGAGTATTCCTTAGAAGTAAAGATCGTACATTCAGATGGAACACAAATACTTAAAGAATATTCAAAATCCCTATCTCTAAGAGAGATGCAAATCAAAACAACTATGAGGTATCATCTCACCCCAGTCAGAATAGCAAAATTTAACAGAACAGCAAGCAACAAATGCTGGTGAGGTTGTGGAGAAACTGGAACCCTTATTCA